TAGCTCGTCTGAGGAAGAAGACTGCCGCCATAGCTCGTCTGAGGAAGAAGACTGCCGCCATAGCTCGTCTGAGGAAGAAGACTGCCGCCATAGCTGTAGGGTTGCAGAGGTGGAGGAGGACGGCGGAGGAGGAAGGTGACGCTAGGAGGGGACATCCTTGGAGGAAAGGGACGGCCACCGAGGAGAAGGCGTCGACGACAGTCTTGGGTGATGCACACCAAGAAGAACTCCAGCGTGACATGTGCTTCGGTGGGAGCAGAAGAGAACTCTGTGGCACTTTGCTATGGCGTACAGTTTAGGCTAACAGGTAGATGATAGAGTAGATGGTCATACCTGCTCGCAGAAAGACCAGCAAGGGTAGGTAACTATGCTTGCCATTGTTCGATTGACTGTCGGGAGATTCATCCCAAAAAAAAAGAAAAAGGAGACTTTTCATTGACAAGGAAAGAGAGTTCAACGTTATCTGTTCTTCTGCTCGCGTGATCACTGCTTTGTCAGTTCTGTGACTACCGTCTTCTCCCGGATAGTACGCCCAGACGTTATAGCTGTATATGGGGCAACTTTCAGTCTAGATGCAGCGATAATGATCGGCCGTTCTAGTCGGGTGAAGACAATACTCTGGTCGCAATACGTGTGCTCATCAAGGGAATTCATCGTGCTTGCAATTCTAATTTCTCAATCTTCGCCTCTGTGTCTTCCCTGCACTTTGAGGGTGGAGGGGGAGGGGGAGGGGGAGGGGGAGGGGGATTTACCTAAGAACGCCAGACATTGTGGGCGTGTGAAAAGACCGAAGCGCCGCGTTTCTCTCAAAAGGAGTTCTGCCCTTTGAGCTGAAAATTGGGATTCGTTCTTTCCATCTGATCCTCCCATGGCAACCAGCCTCTCAAAGATCTCTTTATCGCTCACTTCCACAAGAGCCTGCAAAAGAAGACAGACAAAGAAAAGTCAAAAACAAAATAGTCAAAAAACATGAGGAGGGTTAACGAGGAACGCCAACAGAAAAAAAGCAGGAGTGACAGATGGACTAACCAAACAAGAGGTGAACTCTCTCTCTCTCTCTCTCTCTCTCTCTCTCTCTCTCTCTCTCTCTCTCTCTCTCACACACACACACACTGCTAGTGGATAGTCAGAGATGCAGGTATACACACACACACACATACACATGCTCTCTCTCTCTCTCTCTCTCTCTCTCTCTCTCTCTCTCTCTCTCTCTCTCTCTCTCTCACACACACACACACACACATCCACAAACACTCTTTTTTTGCTATCTAAATTCGAAACCATTTATCGCTCAGAAGTGGAAAGCAATTCACATCCTGGACTATATATGCAGCGGCAGTGTCACTTCAGTGCAATCCTTAATATTTCCATCCATTTGACAGGAGAGGTGTTCAGATAGAAAATATTGTGTCGCACACACCTAGATGAGAAATATCGATCAAACTCAAAATACTACTGCTCATCTAAACATTCTTGTCCTCTTTTTCTTCCTTCGCGGAAGGGGAGGGGGGGAGGGGGGGAGGGGGGGGAGGGGGTTCGAGGGGTGAGGGACGAGGGGTGAGGAGATAGAAGTCAGAAACAAACAATTCTCCGAGGTAACTCCAATGCAAAATTGCAAGAACGCAAACATACCCTCGCCACCTTAATTATTAGTAGTAAGAATCAGAGGAAAACTTGAAAAAATAGTTAAAAGTAGTTTAACATACAAAAGCGAACAATACAACAAACAAAATAAATTGAAAATATCAAATAGAACAACAACAATCAAGGCCCTCATTCACCTTTAAGATAATGGCAACGGGGATGAAGAACTCCTCCTTCCGTAACCTGTAAACGGAGGCAAGCCAAAGCCCAAAAAGACGCAATCAAATTCAATTAATCAAGCAGATGGGGGCAACTCACACCCCCCAAAAAAAACATAAGCAAGCAAACAGAGGCAAGTTGCAATGTCACCATAGAAAGCGCCATTAGACATGTTTTGTATTGCTCGCTCTAATGTCACCATTAGACATGTTTTTATTTTTCCTTTTGCTCAAGCAAATGCTGCCATAGAAAGCGCACAACAAAAACAATGATTTGTCTTCTAAGGTTTTATGATTCTTTTCATTGATTTTTTTTTTAGTAATTGTTCTTAATCTAGGCTGTTTTGCCGGGCGCCCGGGCACCCAAGTTGTGCCCGTACACCCGCCCGGGTGCCGGGCCATGCGGTGAACCCCAGGCAGGGTTCCAGGCAGCCTCATCACACACAGACACACACACACAAAAAAAAAAAAAACAAAGTCAAGAAATTCTAAGAAAAAAAATTGTGTAGAATTGCAATACAAACGACTTTTGGCTGAGGGTCATATCAGAATTCCTCACGGATTTGAAGATAAAAAAAGAAAACAACAGAATCAGACTAAGAGGCAACCCCCCTTTAGACCCCTTTAGCCGCTCAAAAACCAATTTATAACCCCGCTTTCCCCCCCCCCTTGACAACCAACACTTCCTGCCCGGGTTTGAGCAGGCGCAGAAACACCCCGCCCAAAAAAGAAACAAAAAGGAAAAAAAGGGCTGATTTGCCTGCACGGGGTGCCCTGTGCAGGTGACCCCCCCGGCGACTTGCCCGGGATGCACAAGCCAGGCGAGGCAAGGAGCCTAGTTTTTAATGATATTTTTGAAAAAATATTCCCAGCTTTTTAAATGATCCCCCCCCCCCCCCCCTCTCCCCTCTCCCCCCTAGCTTCCCCTCCCCACCTCTTATAGATGGGTTCTGGGTTCCGTTTGCGACTTTGTGTACTGCACAGCTTGCTTACTGCTCCAGATGCATCATTGCTTCCGTCTTCTGCGGCACGATTTTTTTTTTCATTTAAAAAATAAAGAAAGTGCATTGTCCGCATCTAATAATACACAGTGTATATACCGTCTACGAAGGCAGAGGCCATGCACAGGGACCAGAAAACCTGCTATCCACAAACTACCATCTTCACCTGAATAGAATGCCCGGTCATTATAGCTGTATCTGGACTGAAAAGTGCACGAAATACGGCTTTAATGACCGCGTGTTCTATTCGGGTGAAGACGGTAGCTTCCATATCAGGAACGTTATACAGGCAGTATCAAAACCGTGAATGCAGTCAGGAGTACTTTGTCGCATAATCCGCGTGCAAAGAGTGTACTTTTGTGGCATAATATACTTACACAAATGCAAGATTCGCCGAGCCGGTGACCAGGTAGTGCACTTTCACTGAAACAGATGACTGATCAGGCCGTACACATCTGTCGATTTCTCACCCAACCACACACTCACGCACACACACAAATTCAACCAACCACGCACACACACACACACATCCAGATTCGTCCAACCGCACACACACACAAAAAAAAAAGTGCACGCGAGTGTGCACGACGGGCGTGAGCACACACACAAACATCGATAAATTAGCTCAAGAAACATCGATAAATTAGCTCAAGGCCTACGACAGGAAAGACACTTCAAATTATATAGTCTAAGTCAGGATTATTTTTCGAGATCGTTAGGCATTCATCATTTAGCACTTGTCACTAGCAATATTGTTATCCAGCCACCGTTTCTCTTTTATTTCAAAAACGTTTGGAGGGCAGCTTCACATAACCGGGCCAGAAGATTATGTGGGTCTCTGGCTTTAAAAAAAACCTAAAAAATTGTCAAAATAAGTCCACGATGCACATGTCAAATTCAACACAACTGTCTTTGTTCCATGAAAGGGGGTTCACACAACTTCACAGGCTTCAGAGGCGGTTACACGGGCCTCCTTCAGTTGGCTGAATTTCGATACTACCTTTTTCTTTAACTTACAAATTAAATTACAATTCTTTTAGGAATCTCAAAGTGCACCGCAGCGAAACGTTTTTTGTATGGTCACCCTCTACAAAATACTTCTTTCAAGTTCTTTGTTAATTTTTTTCTATATTGCTGCTGGAAAAACAATGGCACGAACGTAAAAAGTTACTAAAACCAGTAAATACTCTATTTTTTTGCACTGGGTGTCATCTTTATCCAGATTCACTGGGGACGGAAAATTCATCCAGCCGGATACATCGGACAAAAGAAAGGCACAGAAGGATGTGTGGGTGTGGGTGTGTGTGTGTGGGGGGGGGGGGGGGGGAAGGTTATTCAGTTATGCTGCATAGGAAAGAAATGGTAACTAGGCTACCAGCCGTGCCGCCCGGGTCACAACTTGTTTGCCCGGGCGGACCGGCCATGCAAGGACCAAAGAAGGTCCCAGCAACAACAACAAAAAAAAAAAAAATCAAAAAATTCTTTTAAAAAAAATTAAAAAAAATGTTATGCAGAAAAATAAACTGACAACGTTGCCTCAGGGTCACATTGAATTTCTTTACCAATTTCAAAATAAAATTTTAAATTGGCGAAAAATTGAAAATTCCTTCTCTTTTTTTTTGTTGGCCCAGCCGGGCAAGTCGTCCCGGGCCACTCTAGTAGCCTAGGGTCTCACACTCACATGAAAAAAAAACGCTTCCTGCATTCAGATCTTCATCATGTTTCGCATTTGATTGTCATCGATGTGTTGTTGACATACAATTTGACAGATAATGAACAAATCACAAGTCCCAAAAACAAAACCATTGAAAGATATCATTCACCTTTGAGATAGCAGTCTGCACACTCGGGGCGTAAGGGGGGGTGGAGGGGGAGGAAGCCAGCACATTCTTTATTGAACTTCATTGTTAATTTGTCACCAACCAAAACAGTGGAACCTTCATCACTGCTAAAAGTCGGTCTTTCTTGGTCACAAGAAATTAAAATTCTCCCTCCCTGCCAACAGTGAAACATACATGTGAGGTTATAGGGTGAGCTCGTTCCAACCTTTTCATCCCACTTACAGGACAACAGAGAAGTTCAATGTGCCAGACTGAGACTCTTAAACCACCAGTACCCGGGGGGGTCTTAGGCCCCCTCTGGGCCCCCTCTGACGCAAATGCATGTGGACACGCGTGGCGCCCTACCTAAAAGCGTGGAGGTACTGGTGGTTTAAGTTGTATCCATTTTCTTCCAAACAGTACAGAGCTGTTTCTCAGAATTTTTTTAAGATCAACCCAGCCGCGGATGCTTTGACGGAGAGAAGAGGCAAGCGAACGGTGGACATGTGTAAGGGTAGGAGAGGAGAGGGAGAGAAATCATCATTTTTTTCTTTTGACAGAGAGAAGAGCAGGATGAACATACGTGGGGGTGGGGGTGGGGGTGGAGAAGGGGGTTGGGGTGGGAGGGAGGGGATGCCAACAAAAGAAAAAAAAAGCGCAATCGTAGTTACACCCCTACCTTATGTACGTCGCCATGTCGGTGTAAAGCACACCACGATTAAGGAATGAGGATCGTTTATATGCCATAACCTAAAGAAATGCAGAATAGCCAGAGAGATTCAGGTGAACAGTTAGGGCCAATAAATTCAGTGAACAGTAGTCTCGAATAAGCACACCCTTGCTCTTGCACTTTCTGGGACGTATCCTACCGCAAATCCAGTTACATTCATACGAAAAAAAGTCTTAGTCTGCATATCCTCCAAGAAAAACATCAACAATTCTAATCACCAAAGCTGATCTACGTTGAAGACCGGGAAGACGACAAAACTACAGACATTCAGATCCCAACCAGCCTTCCCGCCAAGTGGGACGTTTTCCTTTCAGATCTCAACCAAGTGGAAAGCAAGTACGAGTTTCTGCTGCCCTCACGTACACACTAGAAAAATAGGGACAGTTTTTCTTTCCCCCCGATCACTAGGCATATTGTTTATGAATGGACACCACGAAAGAGAATGGGGATCCACCAAATACAAAGGCACATAATCTCTCTCTCTCTCTCTCTCTCTCTCTCTCTCTCTCTCTCTCTCTCTCTCTCTCTCTCACACACACACACACACACACACAC